AGTAAAAATGATGACTGAGTGAGTGGGATAGGAATCAGAGACTCCTCAAGGGTAAATAATAACCCTCTTACTCAAGAACTGCTGAGCTCTAATAAAGCTGTGCTGGAGTAGGAAACCATACCACTGTCTGACACTGCCAGACCAAACCAAAATCTCAACTTTCTGTTTTTTAAAGTCCGGCATGGGGACTGAAAGGATTTTAAAGATCTACTGTGTACTAAACTGTTTGGAAATATGTATCAATGGTTCCTGAGTTTAAAGATTTCTGCACAATCCCTTACAATCATCTACACTCCACTAGACCATAAATAAAGGTTTGAAACTTGAGAAACACAAGGGAAATTAGACAGTGAAGTTGTTATAGATGTACTGTTAAAGACATGTCTGTATTGGCTCTCACCCTTACATAGTCCTAATGCAGGGTGCAGGCAAACTTTTTGGCCTGAGGGCCACATTGGGTTTCCAAATTTGTATGGAGGGCCGCTTAGGGGAGGCTGTGTCCCCAAACAGCCAGGCATGGCCCGGCCCCCACCTACTATCCGACCTCCCTTGCTTCTTGCCCCCTGACGGCTCCCCCCAGGACTCCTACCCCATCCACCACTCCCTGTCCCCTGAACACCCCCGGACTCCTCACCCCTGACTGCCCCCTGCCACCCCATCCAACCCCCCCTCTCATTCCTGACTACCCCCCCGGGACTCCTGCCCCATCCAACCCCCCTTTTCCTTGCCCTCTGACCGCTCCGACCCGTATCCACACCCCTGCCCCCTGACCACCACCCCCAACTCCCTTGCCCTCTATCCAACCCCCCCACTCCCTGCCCCCTTGCCGTGCTGCCTGGAGCACCGGTGGCTGGCGGTGCTACATCTGCGCCGGCTGGAGCACCGGGTCAGGCCGTGGCTCTGCAACTGCGCTGCCCGGCCGCCCAGAGCACTGTGCTGGCAGCGTGGGAGGGGGGACAGTGGGGGAAGAGCCGGGGCGAGCTCAGGGGCTGGGTAGGAGGGTTCCGCTGACTGTAGTTTGCCCACGTCTGTCCTAATGAATCACTAGGGGATTCAGGGCTGGATCCTGCACCAGTGAAGTCAACGGCAGTTTTGCCGCTGGCTGGAGCAGAAACAGGACTGGGTCCTTACAGCGTATGTCTGTTCATAAATAATCATGAAAGGCCCATTCCTGCAAGCTGCTGAAAGCCAACAGTCAATGGGAGTTGAGGAGCCTGAGCACGTCACAAAAAGGGGCAAAAGGGTGTTGGAAACCCTCAAACACCCAATGTGGTTTTTGGGATTTGAGGATGCTCAGCATCTCACATGATCACTCAGCATCTTGCAAGATCATGCCCAAAATGCGGTTGACTAACGCATAAATATATATCATATAATAGCATGCATTAAGCACCGACAACATTGAGCATAAATATTGTACAGTTATATAGCCTAAACTGGCCTATACCATAGTACTGTTCACTTATGCTAAATATCTCATAACGCCTTTCATTAGCTGAAGAAAGCTTTGGCTTAAGTAGATAGGAAAACTGTCAGTGTCAGGACATATAACTGTTTCCTCATAGCAACAGAAAGGGAGTTACCCTCACAGACCAAGGGGAGTGTTTTCATGCTCCTTAGTACCTGGAATGCATGTGTTGAGAACAAAGATAAGGGTGCATCGTGACCTGGAATGTATGGGTTCAGAACAGAAGATAAAGGGGTACACCATTGTACCACAAACAAACAAGGTAAAAAGCTGATAACTGAATCCAGTTTCAGGTGACATATATAGTACCATTTACTGGTAAACAAGTAGGGTACAAAAAGATGATTTTAGGGATGTAACTGTAGGGAGAACACTTTCTGAAAAAGGTGAATTTAACACTGCTGCACTAGACTGCTCTTTGGAGACTGGTATCATACAGAATCTTTTTCCTGTACCATATTAATAAACCTGACTGGCATTGGTTATTTGGTCTCTTGAGTATATTTCATAGCGAAATAATGAAACAAAGTGTGGTCAAGCAATCGACTGATTAATCAATAATGCACAGGAACAGCTTGCACCAGAGGTTAGAGGTGACCAATCAACACTTTCCCTTACATCAATTATGTCACTCCAAAAACTTGTAGATGAAATTGATAGGACTTCAAATTACACATGTGCTTAAGCACATGGCTGAATCATGGCCTTAATTGTTAAATTTCATTTTAAAGCACTTATAACTAAGCATACCAGTTAATACTTTGGTCCCTTTTATTACCTTAAGCAGCTACTAGCCGATAATGTGCTACATTACTTTCTGCTCAGTTCAACGTATTTATTTTCATTGGGAATTCTGATTGAATGTCTTTGGAATCTAGTTGTTTCCCTGGTGAGAGAATGTAATCCTGCTATCTTGTTAGATGGAAAATCATCTATGAAAGTCCATTCAAAACAAATCTCCTGCCAAAATATTTCTCTCTTTTCATTTGGACAGTTTTCTTTCTGATAATTTAATGGTAATAAATCCCTCCATATGCCTGTATCAGCCTTGGCAAAGAGAAGAGGTCTCAGTCTGAAAATCAGATTAAACAGGGAGCTCCTCAGTCTCAGCAGGACTGGAAGTTCTGGATAGTTTTTTGATGCACATGGAAAAGAGATTCCAGAAAGCCAGTTCTATTGCTTAGGTCGTAGCACGATCTATGCACACAGTATGCATTTATCTCCGTAGATAATTTCAAGACAAAGGTAAATATTTTAATAGGTTTGGCAGCCTAAGACTTTAATTATGAGTCAGTGATCCCAAGAAATTCAACAACAGAAGGACTGTTCCATGGCTTGTTATGGTCTATTCTGATCATAAACAATTTCCACATAGAAACAGAAATGTTGCAACTAGTGCTGCAATAGTTCAAGTTCCACTCCTCCACCATCTCCAGTGCACCCCACTGATGTATTTTATCTACAGACATTAGTCATGACTACACCTCCTGCCTGTAATTGGGTGTCATCCATCAGGTTGGAAAGTTTAAAATTAAGTGATTTTCCTGGAAACCATTTTTCAGCAGCATCATTTGATCCATTGTAGTTAAAGCTGTGTCAGTGGTTCCATTATAGATTCCATTTCATGGTATTTTTTATAAATTAGTTGTAGGTTTCCTCTGCACTTAAAATTGGCATACAAGGTCTAGGCTGAGGAACAAAGTTTTTTCCGAAGGCAAAGATTTTTTTCAATTGTCATTTTTAAACAGCAGGATCAGAAACATATTTTATTTAAAAACAGCTGTCATACCGACCATTTTGCATGGCAGGGCACTGACCATTGCTCTTTTGTAAAAAGCATACTCTACATCAGTAGATGGGTCTTTACTCAAAGGGTCTGTAATAGTCTATTAGGTAAATACATTAACCTATAATTTCAATGTGCCTAAATATGGTACATTGTGTACTATATTTACACAGGGCTAGAGTGAGCCTTTATGGGCAGTGCATAGATTTGCACACCCCAAGAAGAGCTGTGATAAGGAGATGTGGGTGCATGGGTGGGGAAAAGTAATTTACTGCAGACCCTTATGAACTGCAGCTTCCTTCCTTCAAAACACCACAGCTCTGCTGGCTGGGGTGGCGAGAAGTCAAAGCCTCGCCTATATCATTCTGCTCCTTTCTGCCAACTTACTCGTAGGGGTGAGGGGATGAGTATTGGGCATACAGCCTCTGTTCTCCTTCCTTCTGCTAAGCCATGATGTGGAGAGGAATATGGGAGGGCTAGGGTATTACTCTCTTGTATGGCCATTATGGGCCATATTAGGTTGGGTCACAGAACAGGCCATCGTTTGTGTATTTAGAAGTTCACAGAGTATTTTGAAATAGACCATAACAGCTTCAAAACTCACCTGCCTAGCAGTATCTACATCTGTCTAAGTTTGCATTTTGTGCCCAGCACCATACAACCTCAACACTCAATGCAAATTACGGCATGAATTCTCATACACTTCAGTGACAGATTCATTTCATATTCTAGCTATTTTCAGACCTTTATTGATACCAATTTATTGTCAAACCTATATGTAATTGTTCCACCTGAATTCATGTTTTTACTTCTGCTAGCTCTTAGGGCTCAATCCTTTGAACTCTTAAACATGTGAATAACTCTAGTCTTCTTAGTTATCCCATCCACTATAAGTAAGAATTACTCACATGAATAAGAGTTTTCAGGATCAGCCCCTTAAACTCTGTCCTAAAAAGGCAGAAGGAAATGTGTAAAGGAAATTCATTTCTGTGACCTAGACACTAAATTATGGAACAAAGTAGAATATAAAGGAACCCAACGGGGCTTGCATTTAACAGGGGACTCTGGATTGAGAAATCTCTGATCATTGAAGTCCACATGACTTGGAACATGAGAGTACCGTTCTTGTGACTTTAGAGCATAGCTAAGCTTAAGGCAGTTATTTATAATGCTTTGTTTTGGACAGAAAATAATTTTTTTTTGCCCTTTTCACTGATCTCACAAAGAACATAGAGCTGGCATTGCAGGCACTCCCATAGCCTTGATGATGTGCTATATTTCTACAGTCTTTGCTGGCATGCACTAGTCACGACCAGCCCATGGAACCTGTATTTCAAATCACAGTGTCACATCGCAGGACAACTCTGATTGGCCAGTGCTATGATGTCACACTTTGAAACGCTACTTTTACTCAGGAGAAAATAAAAACTCATAACAGAGGGCTCTTTGAGCACACAGTGGCCTGGGGCTTTTCAAAATATACTCATGGATAACTGGAATTAGATACAGAATGTAAAGCTGTATTTTTACATCTCACTGTTCATTCTGACTTGTTACTCATAAAATACTGTCAGTGCCTTTTTAGCACAGCAGAGCGGTGCCTTTCTCTAAACATCCTTTGTTCACACTACAGGGGGCCTTCTGCGTGAAGTGGTTATTTTTCCTGTTCTGTGGTGCAGTTAACAGAAAGGGGAGAGCTGACACCACAGAAGGCAAAACAATCAGGCCACTAGACTGGGCACTTACCTCATATTCCTCTTTGAATCCATAGCCCTCTGCACATTTCATCTGCGTGATATGCTGCAGCAAGTCAGCCACACGGATGGCTGGATGAAGCTGTCCGGTCTGGTATGGCACATCTACTGGGTCTCGCTTCTTGTAGGTGTGTGACTGGACCAAGCTGCTTGTGTCACTGGCCATCGTGTGGGTTTCATCTATGAAAAGAAAACCAGGTTGTTTCCACTTATTAAAAGTATAAAATACATTGATTTCTACAAGGATGATTTTGATATCACCAACTTTGATTTAACCAACTATTTATCAGGGCTGTGCCAGAAAAAAGGTAAATCCATTTAGTAAATTATCCAGGGAGATTTCAAGATCGATTGGAATGAGGCAAAGTCCATGTTTCTACAATGTAAGCATTGCAGAACAGTCCGAACTATATACTGTTTTAAATATATATATATAAATAAATATTGTTTTGAAAACTAACTGATTATAAACAATATTTAAATTCTTTAGGCATTCAGTTATAAGCTGTAGAGAAGTTTCATCTTGAAACTTCATCAAGTCCCACTGGAATAAAATAGGACTTGTATTCTTCTTAGATTAGTGGACTATTAGATTTTACACTGTGAACTCAGAACAAATGTTTGGTGTGAGCAAAATAAAAAAATGCACAAAATGGATTATGGTTCATTAAGCTAGGACTGCAATGAAAATGTAGATCTGATACAACACTTTGAAACAAAATACAAGAGGACATATGCAAGAGATCATCTGCTTAGGGTAAATGTTTTGATTGGCTGTTTAGCATGCTGCAGAACCAACAACTTCACAAAATATCATGGGCCATCACATTAGGCATAAAATGTTATATGTCAACTGACATGCAAGCCAACACGCAACAGAACCCACTGGGTTGCTCAAAATTTGTATGAAACACACACTCTCCCGCCCCCTCCACACCTTTTTGATGGGGCAAATGGGCAACTTACCATTTATTGGCACTTTTAAGAAGAACCATATCAGGAGAAAAAAAGAGGAGGAGAAAAAGGAAACAGGGCATAAGCAACAGTACTACATTAATAATTACAGGTAATTTTATATTTGTAATTTAACTTTTACAGCTTGGTATCCTAGCTGAGTCACAGATTATGTGAAAGAGGGCACGATTCAAGAAGCACTATCACTTTCCCCTTGTTTTCATGGAGTTTTTATTTTGTTTAATACTTGACAAGAAAAAGCCCCAAAAGTCTGAGGAGTAAGCATCATCATAAATATTTTCTTTGCTGAAAAAAAAAGAAGACCAAAATTTTGTATTTCTCAAAGAGTATTTTGTTTTAGCTAACTGAAATAACAAAAAATTGTGCTTTAATTTGGTCAAAATACTCTGCAATGCCCGCACACTAACTGTGGGAAATGGTTAATGAAATTAATATATTGTAACAATGACTGCTATGTAAAATGTGTTATATAAAAGGGGATTGCTAAAATAATACGATTTCCATATTCTTTAGTTAAATTTATTATAGTATAGAGCTCCCAACACTTTCTTTAAGAACAGGCCCGAAGATTTCACACAAACACCCAAAATGCTACATCTGCTCATCAAGGGCCAGTTTTTGATCTCGGTGTAAATTAAAAGTTACTCCACTAAAGTCAAGGGAGTTACTCACTGAGGTCAATGGAGTCACAGTCAGCTTACACTGATGAAACTGAGATTAAATCTGGTCCTCAGTGAAGAGTTTAAAATGTGAACAATGCACCTAAACCTAAACTTAAAATAATATGTAGCAATATGGATATGAATATGGATATTTCACTATGTCTCCTGCCACTTTATTAACCTCATCCAATATAGCAAAAACAATTTTACATTTTTAATAAATAAATTTGGCTACTTTTGCCTAACATGCAGTAAAACTGTATTGCAAAGCACCTTGGGATGCATGGCATGAAAGGCGATATACATGTGTAGTTACAGCATGTTGTTGTTGAAATGGCACCCGAATACTACAAGGCGGCTAAGACACAAAAGACAAAAAAAAGTGTAGAAGTTGATTGTATGGTTTTTTTAAATTTATGTAGAGTTAGATTATAGGTTTTATTTTTGTTCAAACGAAGGTATCACCATAACTCTGAAATTCCTATTAAATATTCAGATGGCAAATCTTGTCAGGGTCTCTGGGCTGTGAAAGTGAGACAGTTCAGCCCATACGCCTCTCGCTCCAGGGGGTTTCTCTGTGTTGTGGACTAAATGGAACATTCATTCCTCCCTCCCTCCCACTGCCTCTCTGCCTCATCTAGCTCCCACCCTTTCAAGACTAAAACTATTATGCTATGTTTGGGACTGATCTTTTAAAGTTACTTTAAATGAAAAGGTTATGCTCCCTGGCTTGGATGGTACAATATGAATCCACCAGAAATACAGTATTTGCTATCTTCCTGCTTTGCCTTTGAAAGTGATAGCAAGACAGAGAATCTCCGACGTAAGAGTCAATTGCTTTTGCCAGCTGACATGGTGGATGCACCACAGCATGCAGCTTATTTAGTTTAGCTGGTGACTATAGTTATTGACCCCCATTATATTATCCAGTTATTGATTCCAATATATTTGTTCAGTACTGTCTGAGAACTATTAAAATGCATATTTAGTCAGCATTTATCTGAAACATGGGTGCTGCAGACATCTGCAAGACCAGTGGAGTATCTGGGTTGAGTTCCTTTTCTTTTCTTCTGTTACTTTTTCTTTTGAGTTTTGTTCAGAACACAGGAGGACAGGCAGGCATTACCTACCCTGCCTTTTCCAGACCAGTTGCCTCTCTCTGAAGATTAATTTAGGCATACACAACCCAGGAATATTAAGGGATTGTTTGTCAATATTTCACTTAAGGTGTTAGGTTAAACAAGAAGCTTCTCTCAATTGTCTGAAAATTAGTGAATATTGAAATACTGAATTGTTGAGAAGAAATCAGATTGTTGCCATTTGTTTCATTTAAAAAGTTTCGTATTAATTCAGTCAATTGTTTCAATAGGTTGAGAAGATGCTCATTTGCATGTTGAGTCTAAGGCCTTGTCTACACTAACACTGTAAATTGATCTAAGTTATGCTAGTTAAGTTACATAAGTTTTGTAATTTAAATGGACTTAAAGCGGTGTCTACACCACGCTATATTGACACGAAATACTCTCCTGTCAGCATAGCTTCCGCCTCTCATTGAGGTGGAGTACTGAAGTCAACGGGAGAATGCTCTCCCATCGATTTAGCGTGTCTTCACCCGACCTGCTAAATCGACGCTGCTGCATTGATGGCAGAGCCACCGATTTAGCACAGAAGTGAAGACAAGCCCTGAGTTTCCTCTCATGACTTTTTGGAAAATGTAAGTGTATTGTGACCCCTTTAGTAACAAAACTAAACAATAATCACAGTCATACGACTTCCCAGTAGGTCATGTAGACTCCAACTAGAAGTTCGACCCTGCAGTCCCTTATGTCCTGAAAACTCCCACTGGATAAGGAAGGACTGCAGGATTGGGCATTACATGCAGTAAGAAGCCAGCCATTCATGTCTTAAAATATATGGACTTCAAAATTAATTGTTGTTCTAAAATGTCATGGGCCAGATCCTCATCTGTGTTGCTCCACTGATTGAAGTAGAGCTGCTCTGATGTAGACCAGCTAAAGCTCTAGCCCAGTACATGTATGTATGCAGCTTTCTGATGATTACTTCTGTTTGAATGGAACACCAAAAGGTGTTAACTTAACCTTTAACAAGTGAAGCAACAAAAATATTTATTTTCTACAACAAAATAATGGGAGGACTTCTGAGGAGAGTAAATACAGATTGTATACATTAGCTAGCTAACTCAAGAACTTCTCTCTTACAGTTTCAGAGAAGGAGATTTTGACACCGAAAGTGCATCTTTTTTCATGTCAGAAATGTTTGTTTAAATATTATTTCTCCTTAGAGAAACCTACCAAAAGATTTCTCATCGTCATTATGGTACAACAAATGACTGAAAAAGTTTCTGAGAATCCATTTGCAAAGCTTATCATAATCCTGATAGAAATATCTAAATTTTTCTCCTGGCAACAAAGGTTTTCTTCCTGACCACCACAAGGTCAGAACATCTACTGGATGAGTTGCTGCATGAATGGAAAGCACAAAGTAATCGAAAATCTCAGGCAGTTAAAAGGCTCAGCAAATTTCATTTGCATGCAGATTATTACATTGTTACAGTGACTACCATTACATTCTCCCTGATGTACACAAAATATAAAAATGCACAGATCTTTTTCCTTTGGATGTCATATTTAAATGAGCTTTCCTAATTATCCCTCCAGCACAATAACTTTGCTGCATTAGTTTTTCAGAAATCACATTCCTAAAGTGCAGCTCCCTGTAACTGTCACTTAACTATACTTAATTTCTTTTACCTCAATGCAACTGCTTAAAGCCAGAAAATGACATGGAAAGTATTATACTTTATATACAAATTCATAGTGATTTGGAGAAAAGGGAAGAGGAAGAAAAATATGTATTGTAAAGATAAACCATTGTAAAGACAGAGCTCAAGAAGCAGCATAACACTTGGGTTGGAATTCTTGCTACAGTGCATTGTTATACCTTTATTTAATTTTTTAAAATCTCGGTTTAGGTGAAGGTTAGTACTGTGGAAGTAACAAAGAACAAGCCATAAGACAGGCTTGTTACTTATTCAATGGAAATGCAACAGCATCTCATGCTACTTTTATTATAACAGCTTGAAAATGCCATTTTCCTTCATTCTTTTTATATTGCACAAATAGGAGGTTGTTGTTTTTTCTAAATTCCTAGTGGAAATGTTTCATACTTTAAATGCATTTAGTGCTATAGTGCTACCATATTATTCATTTTTGTGACAACTGATACATAATAAACGATACTTTTATAAAGTGCCATATTGTCATTTTGCTGTTCAAAACACCATCTTCTCTGAAACTTCATGGTGACAGGCATGCCAGTAAACTGTGTGGTATTGTAAGAAGAAATGATAACTGGTAGATGGCCAGACCTTTATTTTGACTGATTTTCTATATCATCCTTAATTAGGAAAACATTATTTTTACAAAAGTGACATCTTCAGTTCACAGATAAAACTGAAAATAATGAGAAACTATTTTAATTGCCATGATAATCAAATTCTCTTGTGCCATTCCAAATACATGCATAAACATTTCTTCATAAAACCACATGTGAAAGCAATTTTTCTCTTCCCCCATCCCCCAACTTTGCACCATGATGGTAGGAAGCCAGTCCAATAACTGTCCTGAGCATTCTCATTGCAGAAAAGCTTGCTCCCCGTCCCAAAAACCTAATGCTCTGGTCTCTTAGATACTATGTTCTGTAACCCAGAGCTGCGCCTTTCAAAATTATTTCTGCAATAAACTTTGATAAAGGGAAATGTTCTCACCTAAAATTGCAGTTGGCACAAATGGATCTGTCATACATCATAAGCAGGTCAATGCAGAAAGGTAAAAAGAGAGAGAACAGTAAATGATTGATAAATGATCCCCAGTTTTCCTGCAGAAAGCCACACTAAGCAACTACTTATAATATGTTACAATGTATAACGCTCCTATGGCAATGTATAATAAAATGATAACAGTATACATTTTGATTTTTAAGGAGGGAAACTGGTGCATTGCATTATGAAAGGATGAAACAAAGACAAAAAATGGTTACCTGGGTAATAAGAATTAGGCACTGTTGTGCTCAGTGTGTTAGTTTTCATTGTAAATGAAGAAGGGGAGGATACAGCTGTAAAGAGAAGAAAATTTAGTCAGTGGCAGCAAAGAGAAATGTTGCTGTTTCAGATTGGAAATATACGCATATGAAATTGATTTAATTTAGGGCCTGATCCTGCCCCCTTTGAAGGCAATGGCAAAACTCCCAATGATTTTAATGGAAGCAGAAAGTATGCTGGGTAATTACTAGAATGGTTTAGCTAATATGGACCAATTTTCTGAAAATAGTTTTGATCAGATAAAGCAATTTGATCATTGTGAAGTTTTCCATTGATGGCTAGCATATTTTTTATGTTTCGAAGGTAAGACTGAATGTAGATCTTCAAATAAGCAAGGAACAATGACAGCAATTGCTTTTGACAGTAGCTCTGAGAATTAAAAGGGTTACCTAACAATACCACAAATAAGTTAGCCAAATATTCTTCTACAATTCATTTTTTTCTTTGCTGTACTACTAACAGTTCAGATCGGTGGGTAACATACATGCATATCGTACTGTTTCCTGAAGGTTATTCTTTTCTCTGACAGTGTTTTTCAACCAGTGATTCACATTTCAGAATTGGTACTAGTACTTAAAGATGTAAACACTGGTAATTTTATAAGGGTGTTAAATGAAACAATCTAAGCTGAGTTAATTCCATAGTATGACATACAACCCATGCATTACCATTAAAAGGACAGAAATAATCAGTGGGTAACAGACTGTTAATTATAAAGCATCTAGGGATATTCAGCCAAAGAGCCATCAGAGACTTTTAAGCAAAGGTTACTGCACATGCAACCCTGGTGGCTGATGCAAGTTGTGGTGCATTTCACTAGCGCTCCATCTCAGTTATTCCATTAGATGTAAGGATATTCTGGGCATCCTAGTAACCTCTCAAGAAGTTCAGAGACCTAAATATTGAGCAAGGTAGGATCTGAATGTGGAGACTATGCAGCTACAGAGCAGAGAAATTTCAGTGCTAGCTTGAGCTCCATCTTTGTTCCCGAGTCTTTGGACCCTCCAGGTGCTAGGTGCCTGTCCCTTGCATAAGATGGAGCAACCTGAAAGCTGTTCCTATTTATGCTGGCTGTCAATGTTCCGTGCAGCTGGGGATGACTGCTCCCCTTTTCCCGTGGTCGCACCCCTATATCAGTAGTCAAGAAGCAGTGGCAGGGGTTCCCTTCTGCTGGGGGCTGGCTGAACTGGTCAGAACAAAAAACTGCCCTAATGCAAGGCAGGATCTCGGCCACACACTGTAATGAGAGTGGAGGATACTCTGAGCCCCTCATAGGAATGAGTCCTTAATAAAAGATCAATACAAATAGTTTACATTGTCAGCCTGGTTCCTGTGGAAGCCACATTCATTATGACAAGTTTGCATTTAAAGTTCATCCTCAGTGAGTATAAAATGTCAGAGTTCCATTGACTTCAACAGAGCTACAATGATTTACAAAAGATGAGGATCTGGCCTCAAGTACTTATTGCTTCCTGGACTATAAGATGTACTTTTGCTTTTGTGACCATCTAATAGCTCCACAGCAAAAATATATCTTGGTGAATAAAGATGCAGCCAAACCGTGATCCCCTTACTCCCTTGAGGAAAGTATGGGATCTGGGTGTTGGTGGTGGCCTGTGATATACAGGAGGTCAGACTAGATCTGGGGTGGGCAAACTTTTTGGCCCAAGGGCCACATCCAGGTTCTGAAACTGTCTGGAGGGCTGGTGCAGTGTATTCAATTGCTCCCAGTAGGAATGTGCTACTTACGGTGTACTGCTTACAGCTGCCGGTCCTGGTGCTCTGAGCGGCATGGAAAGGGGGTGGGGAGTGGGGGGGTTGGATAAGGGGACGGAGGTCCCAGGGGCAGTAGGGGGCAAGGCACAGGGGCGGTTGGATTGGTGTGGGAGTCTCAGGGGGCCTGTGCACAGGGGTTGGGGCAGTCAGGGGACAGGGAGCAGGGGGCGTCGGATAGGGGGTGGGGTCCTGGGGGGGAGGTTAGGGGCAGGGTGCCCTGGAAGGGGGTAGTCAGGGGACAAAGAGCAGGGGGGGTTGGATGCGTCGGGAGTTCTGAGGGGGGCAGTCGGGGGCAGGAAGTGGGAGGGGGCGGACAGGGGCCAGGCTGTTTGGGGAGGCACAGCCTTTCCTACCCAGGGTGCAGTGTATTAAATTGCTCCCTGTAGGAATGTGCTACCTACGGTGTACTACTTATGGCTGCCAGTCTTGATGCTCCGTAATTTAATACAATTTAATTATTGGGGGGCAATTTCATACACTACACCTGGTGGTTCACGCAGCCCCGCTGCCCAAAGCGCTGGTGGCACGGCGAGCTGAGGCTGCGGGGGAGTGGCTGAGGGCTAGCCTCCCCAGGCGGGACTCAAGGGCCAGGCAGGATGGTCCCACGGGCCACAGTTTGCCCACCTCTGGAGTAGATGATCTGGTGAGCCCTTCTGGCCTTCAGTTCTATAACTAATCTCAGAGACTGCAATGGGCTGTTCCCATGAGCAATGCAACTAAGACTGGACCCCCCAAAAGTGCTATTTTAAAGCAAGTCCTAAACAGAGATGAAATTGTAAATTAACAGCTACAAACTTTGAACCTGATACTCACTATCAAGAGAAGCCTCATTGCATAAATCTAGTAGAAAGTGTTTGCACAATTGAGTTCTTTAAAGATAAAATCTTAAGCATACTATTGAAAAGCAGAAACAACTCTCTGTATAATGTTAATATGAGGAACAAAATTAAATGTTGATAAATTCGCAAACTGTGCAAACATTGTGATATACAAAAAACCCGCCCCAAAACTCCAACAAATGGGATTTTTGTTTAAGCTTTTTCCTGTGTTACTTCATGTAAAGATTTTTGGTTCTCTTTTTTCTTCCTGTTCAGCAGTTGTGAAAACAACTGTTCTATTTGTAGTATGGCCCTTGCACAGTTCTTACCCCAAATGAAGGTCTGCAGGTTAGTACAAATTTTAATGTGTGAAATTTCACTCCCCAAAATTTCATTTTCAGGATATATCACAAACATGAGACATTTGGAGAATTGCCTATCAAACTCCACACTGATCAATTTCAGTTAGCTCTTTCTCTGCACTAACAAGTGAGAAAGCATCATCCAGCACCTGATATAATAAGACAGATGTAACACGGATAAACTGAGCTTTGGGACATCCAAAGATACTAAGTGATGACATTTAAAAAATAAAATGGGGAGGAGGGTGAAGGATGTGGGGGAAGCATAAAGGATATAAAACTTTCAGCACAATAAACAGATGGGGAAATGCAAATCCACACCTGCTGCAGAATGTCTCTGCTGTTCATGTGGAAGAAAAGGAAAGACAGAAAAGCTCAGTTATCCTTATTATTTTTAAAGAAGCCTATTCTTGATGTCTGACAGTCCTGCTCATTAGAATACATGCTGTGATGTGTTGCACAGTGGGAGATACTAGATCCCATGGATTTTCCACAAATGAATAACCTGTCCGCTGAATTGATTGGGTAATGAGAAGTATTTTAAGAACCATTTCCACCCTCCTTCCCCCTTCAAAAATAAAAGAGACTGCTGCATCCCCAAGCATTTTGAACTTACATCTTCCATTTAGATTGTGCGTGTCCATGAAAGAGAAAGCTTCGTCACAGTTGGTGCCTTGCTCAGTGTAGCTTTTATCCATTGAATTCACCATCACTGTCATTTCCTGCCGGGTACTACTCAATGTCTCTTTCCGCTTTTTAGCCAATTTTCTTAAGAAATGAACATTGGGGGGAAAAATAAAACTTGGTAAGAACACACAGAATAGCTGTTTTTTTATAGTTTGTAATTATTTTATGGAATAACTTATTACAATCACTAGTGTTATTTCAGACAATTTTAAGCAACCTAACATCTATTAAATATCATCTGTTAATCAAGGGCCAGCTTCTGATACTCTTACATGTGTAGAACAGCACCTGGTTCCGGGGAAATGCCATTGATGTAAGTGGGGTTATTCGTAAAGTGCTGAGTTAGGGTAACAGAAACTTGCCTCAACAACAGAAAATAAAATAATAAATTTATAAAAAGCTATGGCTCTGAAACTTGCTGCTGCAGGGTTGTTTTTTCTTTTTCTTTTTCCTTTCTGTGTAGACAAACCCATAGTGACCAAGATCTTGAAACCAACTGGATCTGGGGGCAAAAGACAGTCTTGGTCTCAGATTGATACAACTGGTTGGCTACTTTAAAAATTGGACCGTGTATAGCAATGATACTCAGACTGCAATGGTTCAGGAGCCAAATTAGCGATGAACATTACTCCAAAGAGCCATAGTTGTGTGAATTCATTGTTTCATTCACTATAGTACTATATATTAATGTTTATACTGTATGAAACAGGAAATACTTAGTTTTTATAATATTATATAGTTATATAATATTATAAAAACTAAATATTTATAAATATATATATTTATAAACATAATATATATAAAAATTCTCACAGCAAAATGACTGATAGCGTATTATTATTTTACCAACTACAATTGGTTAATAATACAGTAAAAGCAACCTGAATGGTTAATAATTAAATCACACTGTGTTTTAATATCACACGCTGCAAAGAGTCGCAGGACACACATTACAGAGCCACTTGCGGCTCCCGAGCCTCAGTTTATTATCAGTATATATTTTTAAATAAGTGATAAATATATACCATTGATTTAGATCGGGATGGGCAAACTTTTTGGTTTGAGGACTACATCTGGGTATGGAAATTGTATGGTGGGCCATGAATGTTCACGAAACTGGTGGTTGGGGTGCGGAAGGGGGTGAGGGCTCCGGCTGAGGGTGCGGGCTCTGGGGTGGGGCCAGAAATGAGGAGTTCAGGATGTGGGAGGGGGGGGCTGGACTGGAGCAGGGGATTGGGGTGCCGGTGTGGGGGGGGTGAGGGCTCCGGCTGGGTGCAGGAGGGTGGGATCGAGGGGTTCAGAGGGCGGGAGTGAGATCAGGGCTGGGACAAGGGATTGGGGTGTGGGTGGGGATCAGGGGTGCAGACTCCGGGCGGTGCTTACTTCAAGCAGCAGCATGTCCCCCATCTGGTTGGCCAATGGGATCTATGGCAGTGGTGCCTGTGGCGTGGGCAGTGCATGGAGCCCCCTGGCTGCCCCTATGTGTAGGAGCCAGAGAGGGAACGTGCCGCTGCTTCTGGGAGCCACACGGATCAAACCCCAGTCCCTGCTCCCTGGCAGGAGCTCAAGGGCCAGATTAAAACGTCTGAAGGGCCGGATGCAGCCCCTGGGCCCGTAGGTTGCCCACCCCTGATTTAGATCATATACCCTGGGCCTGAGTCTACTCTCACATATGCTGGTTTTCACAACTGAGTGACATTTCAAAGTGACATGAGCTATAAGAAGTCGATTCTGCCACTATCAGTCACATTGATTCCAATGGTACTACTCCTGGAGTAAGGTGCTGTTCAATGTGAGTAAGGGCAGTGGAATCTTGACATAGATTCTGATACCCTTACTCCATGAGTGGTCCCCTGAACGCCAATGGAACTATTTGTGAAGTAAGATGCTATTCAGCTTGAGAAAAAGTGTCTGAAATTAGCCCTTAATAATAGATCATACTAAAATGGGTGGGTTATTTGGAAGAACTAAAGGCAGAGCTTATTTATATTGTTTATGTTTGTTAGTTAAACAACTTTAATTGCTTTAAAGTTATAAAATAAATTGGCAAATTAAGGGCCAGGTTTGTCACCCTTACACTAGGAGGTACCTCAAACAGTCCCTTTCAAATCAGTAGAGTTAATCACCAAAAAGGTACTACTCAGTCTTAGTAAAGGAATAAGAATCTGGTCCTAAATAACTAATCAAATGTCACAGAATATATACTCCACACAAATATATGTTTTCATTAAAATTTAGATACAAAACACTTTGTTTAAACATGAGTTATGGACCCCAGCTGCTCTCTATCAACCCATAAAAAATTAGGAAATACAAAGTTAAGGATTAAACTTCAAGTTTGGAATAGGACATGACAACTCATATTTTTTAATTGTCTTTATAAAACCATATTCCCATCCTTAACTCTACCAAAATACAAATTGAAATAACTGAAGGTACTTATTAAAACGATAAGATTTAAATCAAGATTTGCATAAAAATTATCTTTGTATCTATCCTTCCCAACAAAAGCTTTCTATAAGCTCTCCCAAGTATTCCAGGTATGAAGAAATATTGTTATACCTTTAACTTTCTATAACTGAACCTAGTTCCCTTTGTGTTGTTCACACCTCCTCGTGTTTAGGATGGTTCTTGCCAGTGCCCCTTTTGATATGATTTAGAAAGAGGACTGCAATCCCATTTATAAGTTAAATCAGTTCTAAATGTAAAAACACCCATTTTAACAATATGCTAATCACTAACCATAATTGTTCCAAGCATGCTTATTATTAGATAACCCCCCTAAAATTTATTAAATATTTTGGATGGAATTTAGATGTGAGTGTGATTTGTAAAGATAGTATATATGAGGTGTCATACCCGATTCTAAACTTGTAGTTGAAATTTACTCCTTTACATTTTATTTCTTAATTATTTTTATGGTTTGATAAAGAGCAATCATAACCTCATATTAAAATGAAGTTTTCATTTCTGAATTTTAATTTAATGTTGGCATATCTAGAAATTCCTTTATGAATGACATCAGAGTATCTTATAAACACAACAGCAGGAAACTGACATATATCCCTGCATTTCCTACCTCACCCGCCGTTTCATAAGAAAAGAAAAATATTTTCCTTGCAAACTATAATCTATTTATTTTGGGATATCTATTTCCTAATGCATTAATAACTTAATAGAAGTCCTTAGATCACCCATGAAAATGGCATCTATTTTCTCCTTTGCCAATTTTTTCCTTATAAAGAATGCTGACTTACAAACACAATGGTATGAAATTGAATCTCCTTGCAATTTATAAAAATACCCACATTTCGAAATAATACACACTGGAGATGATTCCACACATATCCTAATTAGTAAATTAAATTTGGTACAAATTCCCTATGGCATGCTGACAAAAAAAAAAGGTTCTGAAAAATGATGAAACACTTTGATCCCAAATCTATTTTCTGACCTGTTTTTAAACAGTATTTCACAGGAAAAGAGTCACATATATAACAGATACATAGAAAATTAGAGCTCCTTCAAAACTATAATCTCTATTTTTCAAATTTTATTATTCCCTAAAGATTTAGAAAATATTAAGAAATCATTACCCTGAGAAACTAAAATCCTGATTAACCCAAACTATGGTCTGGTGACTGCTCCACCATAATGAATCGACTACTACTGAAAAGATTTCTGTTTTTTCACCCAAGGATGCAGCAGGGTAGGCAGGGCAGTCATTGCCTCTCCTTCTGCACATCCTCTCTAGCCCCAAACTACTAGTGCACAGACCTCCTTCCTGGCCAGAGTGCACTCTCCAAGTATCCAGGCCGGGACCTGAATCCACAACCTAGATGGTAACAATGAGGGTGTCTAAATTTGACCTCTGCAGTTTCATTAATAAGCCATATTTCTCTTTATTTCTGTGTTACTCAGACCACTGGGAAATACTCCTGACGAAGAACACACAACACCAGGTCTACAATGGAAGAGTTCTCTGTTTCTCTACTTCTGCACAGGCCTTGAAATGTGCAGATGATTTTGGTCTAGAAGATAGAGTGAGTGAACTCCAGTACTGTTCTACCAACTATCAATATAATTATCGATCTCTTTAGATAGTCTCATTCATCTTCCTTTCCCCATAACCAGAGTGGTCAGCATTATCCATCTCCACAAAGCCCTTAACTGCTGCCAAAGTCCCAAACTCAGCACTTATATCTAGATTTCTTGTATGGTGGTGAGTAACTGCAGGGCCACAAGACTTTCTCAGCTTTTAGAAAAGTTTTCCAGAGAAGCTACGCAATATGACTGGCCGGGACTGCATTCCAGGGATATGGATCCATATCTGCAACTGACAGTCACAGCATTGACCCTGGTTACTCATCAGCATTATAAAAAGAGATTTGATTGATAGTGATAGTGACATCACAATCATCTGCCATTATAAGAGAGTCCCTTATTTTAGACTGAAATTTGCATCCTTCCCCAAGAAAGCTGAAGTTCTCACTTGTATTATTGTTTTGACAGTAGAACTCGACATCCTACAACAGATAATGTTCCTTGAGAATGAATCCAAGACACTATTATCTTCTTGCACTAATATTTTCTCAGTCCTTCATTTTAAGTTTTTGTTCCACATTTAGGCTATGACAGATTGAGAGGTACTGTACAGTTGTTATTATCATAAAAACATTCTGAATCTAATGCTGGAATACAGACTTTGTGGGAAAACATCAAAGCTGAAACAACTATTTCAAGAATTTGATATATAACAGTTAGACTTTTGTAGTGTGAGCAAAATAAAATCCTCTGGACTCAAGCAAGTAAACTTAAGCTGAACATAAAAATTTTATACTCAGGTACTCTGGATCTTGCCTAATGCTTTAATCTCTGCAGATCTCATATAATTTGCATAGAGCCACATGAATCTCAGGAGCTTTTAACTACACAAGATGTAAGAAATACACAAACCCCTGATGGTTCATATAACCATTCACCCCTCACTCTCTTAGATCTAGACTAAATCTGTGGAGACAAAGGAGATAGAATGTTTTATGAACTCCTCTACAGCAAAGTAACCTCATGCCTAGTCTCTA